AAAAAAGTGTGGAATATGTAGTACGCCTCTTTCAGGCTAACCCAAGAACTGGAAGTGTTGGAGTTTGTATAGCTATAGATTGAGGCTGTTGTGTAATAAAATTAAAGTAATTGAAATATTGCTGTTATAGAAATAAAGCATTTAAAATGAAGTGAAATTTATTATACAATGATACACTATATAACTGTTAACAATTATACACAGTTCATTAGTCACTATACTTATTATACATTGCTTGGTGCTATGATACATGTATGTACGAGTAAAGATACATGAGTGTACATTAGCTCAAGCCTCAAAGTGTATCAATATGGGCAGCATTAGCTCATATACCAATTGTTTGATTTTGAAAAGGATAAAATGCAAAAAATAAAAAATAATAAGTAATAGATAGGCTACCAAAAATTAATAACCAATATAAATTACTCACTAGTCACTACCAAAATCAAAATCACTACTTCACTTATTATTGTTCAAACCCACTCATTTATTTCCGTTATAATTTCAGACATTGCTGGACGCTGTTTGTAGTTCTCTATCAGACAATGTTCAATGAGATTCTTTAATGCTGGCCACTTGATAGCTTCAATTTGAGCAACTCTTTTTTTCTGTGTATGGGAACTCACAAACAAGCATCTGTACAAGGAGGACACCATAACTGAAGACATCCATTGCAGGAGAATGTTCCCTTGGATTGCCTGCTTCAGGTGCTGAATAGATAGGAGAACCAGGATAGGAATCATCATAGGATGTTCTTCTAAGATGCTGAAAATTGGCTGAAGTGTAACCTGATACTTTAGCTCTCCATACTCTCCCCACTTGTTGAAGGAGTACACTACTACTGCTGACATCTCTATGTAGTATAGGATGAGGCTTGAAGAGATGAAGGTAATTGAGAGCACAGGCTACATCTAAACTGATGCTCAGTATGGTAGGATAGGCAAGTCCTCCACTCTCTATTTCCTTTCTTAGGCTGGTGGCCATTAGCTCTGTCAGGATGATTGGATTACCCTCTGTAGTGGCTCCTATGAACTGAAGGCAGTTCGGATGACGTATTTTAGAAAGAATATTCATTTCACCAGAGAATATTTTAATGTTATAAGAAGAGATTAATATTTCATAAAGACTTTTTGCAGCAACCTTCAGACCATGAAAATGGGTCACTTCGACCTCTCCCCATGCTCCTTTACCAAGGACTACCTCTGTCATTGTAATCTCTTCTCTATCCACTAGCCAGGAAGACTCTACCACTTGTGTCTGCTCTTCAAGTTTTGTTTGTTGGATTTCTCTTGCTCTTTCTTCAAGCTGTTGCTCTTTTTCTTGAAGATGTCGTTGAAGATCCAGTTCTCTTTTTTTGCTGCTTCATTCTCTTTCATTAACTTGAATGCACTTTTCATTTTTGGATATTTTGATAAAACCTTGTTTGATAAATTGACAAGATTCAATCATTTCTGGTCTAGCA